TGGAAGTACTAGCCATTGCAATTAGACAAGAGGAGGAAATAAAAGGCATCCAAATTGGAAAAGAAGAAGTAAAGTTATCCTTATTTGCAGATGACATGATATTGTACATAAAAAACCCAAAAGACTCCATTAAAAAACTAATTGACTTAATAAATGAATTTGGCAACGTAGCAGGATACAAAATTAATGCCAAGAAATCCATGGCATTTCTATACACCAACAGTGAAACTACAGAAACAGAGGCTAAAAAAGCAATTCCATTTACCATCGCACCAAAAAAATTAAGATACCTAGGAATAAATTTGACAAAGGAAGTAAAGGATCTATTTGTGGAAAACTACAAGACACTGAAAAAAGAGATAGAGGAAGATGTAAGGAGATGGAAGAACATACCATGTTCATGGATTGGTATAATCAACATCATCAAAATGTCCATACTTCCTAAAGCAATCTATAGGTTCAATGCACTCCCCATTAAAATACCAACGACATATTTCACTGACCTAGAAAGAACTCTCCAAAAGTTCATTTGGAACAATAAAAGACCCCGAATAGCCACAGCAATCCTGAGAAAGAAGAGTAAAGTAGGAGGGATCTCAATACCAGACTTCAAACTATATTACAAAGCCACTGTTCTCAAAACAGCCTGGTACTGGCACAAGAACAGACATATAGATCAATGGAATAGAATCGAGAACCCAGATATCAACCCAAATCACTATGCTCAATTAATATTCGACAAAGGAGGCACGAATATACAATGGAGTCAAGACAGTTTCTTCAATAAATGGTGTTGGGAAAATTGGACAGACACATGCAAAAGAATGAAACTAGATCACCAACTTACACCATTCACAAAAATAAACTCAAAATGGATACAGGACTTAAACATCAGACGGGAAACCATAAAAATACTAGAAGCATCCACAGGCAGCAAAATCTCAGACGTATGCCAAAAGAACTTCTTCACCGATACTGCCCCTAGGGCAATGGAAGCTAAAGAGAAAATAAACAAATGGGACTTCATCAAAATAAAAAGCTTTTTTATAGCAAAAGAAACCATCAACAAGACAACAAGAAAGCCCACGGTGTGGGAGAACATATTTGCAAATAATACCACTGATAAAGGTTTAATCTCCAACATTTACAGACAGCTTATATAATACAAATAAATAAAAGGAAGATGAATGATCCAATTAAAAAATGGGCAATGGACCTAAATAGAATATTTTCAAAAGAAGACAGAAGGAAGGCCAAAAGGCACATGAAAACATGCTCAAAGTCACTAATTGTACGAGAGGTGCAAATCAAAACAACAATGCGGTACCATCTCACACCTGTCAGAATGGCCAACATCAACAAATCAACAAACGACAAGTGTTGGCGAGGTTGCGGAGAAAAAGGAACCCTCATGCACTGCTGATGGGAATGCAGACTGGTGCAACCACTGTGGAGAACAGTGTGGAGTTTCCTCAAAAAACTGAAAATGGAACTCCCATTTGACCCAGTAATCCCACTTTTAGGAATATATCCCGAGAAACTAGAAACACCAATCAGAAAGGATATTTGCATCCCTATGTTCATAGCAGCACAATCTACAATAGCCAGAATTTGGAAACAGCCTAGGTGCCCGTCAGCAGATGATTGGATCCAAAAACTATGGTACATCTACACAATAGAATACTATGCTGCCATAAAAAAGAAGGAATTCTATCATTTGCAGCAACCTGGATGGAATTGGAGAACATCATGCTGAGTGAAATAAGCCAATCAATGAAGGAGAAACACCACATGACCTCACTCATTGGTGGATGATAAAGATCATTATAAACTGATGAACCAAGAGACAGATATAGAGAAAGTAAAGCAACAGGCAAACTGTCAAATAACAGTGGGGAGGGGAGGAAGATCTGGAGGAGATAATAGATCAACCGAAGGACTTGTATACATGCATATAAGTACAACCAATGGACACAAAACTCTGGGGAGGAAGGGGATGTGTGAAAGGGAAGGAGGGGGGCAAAAAAATTAATAAAATATGTAAAAATAAATAAATAAATTTAAAAAAAGACAGAGAGAGAACAGCCTACTTTCATTCAGTTGCTTTGATAATGTAAATGATTCCAAAATTTTTAAAAGATTAAATTTATATAAAATGATTTTTAAAAAAAAGAAAGAAAATCTGTGGATCTACCTTAAGGAAGGCAAGAATCATAATTGAGAATTCTCCTAATACTGAAAGGGTGTTCAAAAGACATTAAGGATCCTTTGGCTGCCCAACATGAATGTGTGGTCTTTTTCCATAGTTTACATTCCTTGAAACAAAATGTATCCCATTGAATATAACTCTCACTGTCTTTTGTACAAAAGAAAAAAAGGCTTGACTACCTCGAAAAATTAAATAACCCTATCTCTTCATTTACTGCTTTCAACTCCAAGTACAGGAACTCTATGTGATATTCCATTCCACTTCTAATCTAGTCACACTCCCAATTTTATATTCTGCAAACTGTATATAAACTGTAAACTTCACCACCAACAACATAACACATATACAACAGCAGAGGGAGAGAAGAGGGTGGAGAAAAGGAAATCTGTTAAAATACAGAAATGCACACATGACATTGCAAGAAAGAAATGCAGACAGAAGTGCAGTCCTCATTTCAGAAAGTGGTCACCTGACTGACACTGTACCTATTCCATTCCCTTGTCCTCAGCCAGTGCAGGTGAAACAAAACTTAGTCTTGGTGAATCTGAACCTTAATGATGCTGTGGAGCTATCATACTTGCCCTGAATGCCCTATCTCTCAACTTCTCATTACATGAATGAAAAACAGATGCCCTTCATTTGTTTACCCCTCTGCTTTTTGGTCTAAAATGGTGTGGGGCTATAGGACAGGACTTCTCCAACTCCAGATTTTCCCCTACTCTGCTGAGGGTAGAATACAGATGGCAACAAATAAAAATACAGGATTCCAGTTACGTTTGGATTTCAGATAGATCGTTTGTTTAAGTATAAGTATGTCTCATTCAATATCGGAACTACTGCCTAAAAACGATTTGTTATTAAACACAGATTTCACTGAGCAGTCTGTATTTTAAACCAGCAACTCTAGAAAGTAAAAGAATTAATGCAGGGATTCCTTCGACATGAAGAAAAATGTGTAAATGTTCTATTCTAGACAGGGTCAGTGCTGAGGGCAACAGAGGACTCAGCCAATATACACTAAGAATTGGATCACCCAATTACAAGCCCAAGCTGAGTCCTGGGGCATGATAGAATGACTTGGGGAGGTAGTTATCCCTGTGCTTCCCCGACTCTGAACTAAATGCCTTACAAATCTCTAAGAGAAATGACACGCCACCATGTTACCCCACTCTTCCCTGGACTCCCTGCTTCTCCAACTCTGGGGAAACAACAGATATGCACTTGAAACCCAGTTATGATAGTTAGGAGTTGTGTGATCTTGGTCATGTTTGTGTCTGAGTCTCAATTCTACATCTGTAAAGTGACAGTAATGGTATTTCCAAGGTTATATGGGGGGGGGGGGGGACCTCATATACTAACATCTGTGTGTTCATATTCTTTTTCAGCAAAAGCAGCTTGATTCCTAATGTGAAAAAAGGAAACTCCAGCCCCGCAAAAGCAAACATCCTTCTACATCTATTGTATATCCCCATCGGCAGGACAAAACTTTTCTATTTCTCTTTGGTGGTAAAGCAGAAAAGGGCCTTAATTTATAATCAGGAAAGTCTCATTCTGGACCATAAGCCTGGATACATAAAATTGAAATAGTAATAACTACTTCACAGGATTGTGATGAAAATATATCAAAGAATTATGACAATAAATGATATGCATAGGCTCTCAAAAAGGCTACTGCCAATCTCCTTTGCTCTTGTGATAATGTGTGTGAAATCCTAAAACAAGGATTCACTTCCCCCACCTACTCTCCTTGGATCTCTCTTCTACCAATGAACATTTGATTCAGAGGAAGCAAGAGATCCAGATCAATGTTTTTCAAATTGCAGGAAATAATCATTTAAGTCGATGCTGCTCCCATTTTTAACAGGGAATGGAACGGGATGCAATGCAATGCAATGCAACGAAATTGAGTCAAATCAAATCGAAACTAACAGAGAGCATTGTACTGATGGAAACTCAGATATGGCTGCCAATCAGCTCTGTGATGGGAGATATTCCAGCACAGGAACAATGATGCCTGTGAGCACCCCAGTCTGTGAGAAAGCCACCCTGAGTTCTTTCACTGAAATCAAACAATCCAGTTCCTCCCCAAATGCACTGGAGCCTAGAGGAATAGAATCCAAGTAAGTCCTTGTGCCCAGCCTTTAAGAGGAACTGCCTGGGTCTCCAGTAACCACTGTGTCACTCAATTACAATCTCCACTGGTTACAGGAACTTCTCTTCCAAGCTCTGGAACCCTGGGCTAGGTGTCTGCTGTAGGGCTGGGACCACTTGCTCCTCAAGGAGCACCTCCACTGCTGGGATATCCCTCCTACTTAAAAACACCAGCCTGTTCCAGGTCTTGGCCCCTTCTAATAGTCTCTATGTGCTTTCTTCTTTACTTCTCTAGTTGTAGAACTTCCACTCACCCAGATTTCAGGCAGTTCTGAATGATGGTTGTTTTGTATTTTAATTGTAGTTTTGATATGGTTGTGAGAGGTGGCAAGTAGTGGCATTTACTTATGCCACCATCCTGTAATGCTTTTTAAAAACAATATAAAACAATCTCTATAGCAGAATCTCAGTTTTGTAAATGTACACTGAGTGGCCAGATTATTATGATCTCTGAATATCCTATATATGATCTTGGTATATATCCTATATAATAAAAGGCTAATATGCAAATTGTCCCCTCAATCAGGAGTTCGACCAGCAGGCAGGCCGGCCAACCACCCATGTCCCCTCCCCTTGGCCAGGCTGGCCAGACCACCCATGCACAAATTCATGCACCAAGCCTCTAACACACACACACACACACACACACACACACACACACACACACTGAGTGGCCAGATTATTATGTGTTCGGAGATCATAATAATCTGACCACTCAGTGTATGTTTTATGTGTGCATAGAAAAAAATTGGAGAGCTTATAAGCCAGAAAGACCTTCCCAGAAGACTATGAAACCAGAGCACAGAGGAGCCAGATCCCCAGGGCAGAAAGTACAGGAGAGACCCATAACTTTCTAGACCCAGAGCTGAGGGAACCACTCACAGTAGCAGCTGTAAGGGAACCCCAAATAGACACTGTGTAGGCCTGCCACCCAGGGCCCAATGCCCTGATTTGGCCTAAGCTAAGGGAAAGAGAAAGAAGCTAACACTGCTCATGTCAAAACACATTGTCTGAGTACTGACTATATGTCAAGATGTAGTGCTGTGCATGTAACGAAAGGGGAGGAATCTGTGTCAGTATGGGGGCTTGTTTTTCCTGGGAAGACTCTGGACATTTCCTCTTCTCTCTGTAAAAGATCTCATGACTGCATATCCCATATCAGTGCCCCAAGCCAGAGAGAGATTAGGTAGAAGATGATAGATCTCTGCCCAGATTATGTGATTTGTGGTTAAGACCACTATTTACTGAGTCCATGTTTTTTATTAAATGATGAAAGGCTTCTGTCCTTACTCAACCTTTCAGTACTTTCAACTTATTTGGATAGTTGAAGTGTTCGAAGTTTTTTGGTTTTGGTTTTGTAACATGGCCTTAGGGCTATCAGACATCACAGCTCCCAGAAGAGGAGTTTACTTTGGGTTGGTTTCTTCATCAATAGTTGCATCACTGGGCAGGGTTAGTCAGGAAGCGAAGATCTTTGTTAGTTTTCATTATGCTTTTCCTGATTAAAATCTTCTGATTTTCACCTCCCACACTGAGCTTATCTTTGCTGGGCCTGCTGGTTCTGAAAAGTGCATCACGACTAACTGCAAGTTTCCAATTGTCCCACTTCTGGACTGTGAAGTAATCATATCAACCTGTCTTTTGGGCTTTTATCCTCAAAGAGTCTGTCTGTCAGGTCCCAGCAGTGATCGATGGCATAATCACACCAAAGACAAGTTCAATGGAGGATTTGTTTGCAAAGGGGGCAGAGTTACAGGAAACCAACAGGGAATAGTGATGCAAGAGTGTGAAGCCACCATAGTCTCTTGAGCATGAAACAGCCTGGAGAAGGAGTGGTTACTAGAACCCAGAAAAGGGGTTCTACTAGCCTCTACTAGCTCTAGCTATGACTACAGGACATGAGCTGTGGTAGAGGAAGGACCCACAGGTAGTCAGTGGTCTGGCACAGAGAGTATGTGAATAAATTCCACCATCCCACTCTTTTCCTGCCCCCACCCCCACCCCCAGCTCCTGACAGTGCTCATTTGGCCAATTCCCACTGAAAACCAGAAGGTGAAGGGGTGGGTTGAAACAGCCCAGAAGGTGAGCCACAGAGCAGGATAAAGAGTGGTTCAGGAGGAGTAGGGTCTTTTCCAGCCTATGCCCAATCCTTCAAAGAACCCTCCATAGGGTCCTTCGGCCTCTTCTCTCTCCTATATCTCTGATTGAAAGCTCTAAAGCCACATGCCATTCTATACACAGCAGCTCTTCACTCTTCCTCTTCAAGGACAGGAGACAAAGAAAAAGGTCACATCACTGAGGCTTAGATTCTTTTCTTTTTTTTTTTTTAATATATTTTATTGATTTTTCACAGAGAGGAAGAGAGAGGGATAGAGAGTTAGAAACATCGATGAGAGAGAATCATCGATCAGCTGCCTCTTGCACACCCCCCACTGGGGATGTGCCCGCAACCAAGGTACGTGCTCTTGACCAGAATCGAACCCGGGACCCTTCAGTCCCCAAGCCGATGCTCTATCCACTGAGCCAAACCGGTCCCGGCGAGGCTTAGATTCTTAAGCCTGTACTAAAGTAGCTTGTGGAGCAGGAATGGTAACAGGCCTGGAAAAGCTACTGTTGGGATTTACTTCTACATGGGAGGCACGAAGGGCTACTTTTTTAAGGCAAACCCCTCAAGAGGGAGACATCTGGTCCTAGCTGATCAAGGGGGGTGGTTAGAGCTATTGTAGGAGCTAGGGCAATATTTTTGATCATCAGTAACAACTCACTCCCACCATTCCATCACATAGAGGGAATGCACACCTATGCCAGGGAATGTGAGGTAATCAGAGTTCAGCTTACAGTTTCAGACTCTTCTGCTTTGCGTCTTTCCCTCTGTGTTCAGTATTTTATAAACAGTTGCTCTAGTCTCTCACTGCCTGATTGCATCTGAGAGAACTGCTTACATCAGGGCCTCCCACTGCACTTGATCGGGAAATATTTTTCCAGCCCCTTTCTAAAGGGACCTACAAAATATCCAGCACCTTTGACGGCTTTTGTTTACAGGATCTATGTTGATACTAATGCTTGGGGATCCAAAATGCAATCTTGGCCCATCTGTTAGAGTTAGTACTTAGCAGATGCGAACTGATAAGTGGAATTCTCACCTACATCCATCTAAAAGTGGGTCATTTGAGTCCTTGACCCTCAGCCTGTGGTCAATTCCTAGACTTTTAAGTGCATACTTGGAATGTACATACAGTATTTAGACACTGACAGGCTCTCATATGAGTCTCTGATTTATGAACTAAGATCCATTTTGGTAGGAAAACCTGTGTAGCTGCCTCCCTACTTCTGGCCAAAGTGGATACTCAGGAACAATGCAACATCCTAGGTGAAATGGCTTAGTTTAGTGGCACCCTTAAATATGTAAAGCTTGCAGGGGATGGTGCCCTGAAAAGCAAGGTCTACCATGAAAGATAACAATCTACCATAAGCTTCACCAACTATAACCCCAATTGCCACTGCTGTTCTGCATGTCATATCTTTGCAACCGAATAAGGCAGCAACTCAAACCAACAGATATACTTACCAAGAGGTGGAGTGGGGAGTGGGAATCTGGGAGTAGGAAGGTGCTAGAGGAGAAAGATAACAATTATTAATGATGACCCCAGGACCAATGCCAACAATAAGGACTATAGCTGTACTTATAAAGGCATTTTTTTAATTGATTTCAGAGAGGAAGGCAGAGGGAGAGATATAAACATCAATGAATCAATGATGAAAGAGAATTATTAATCAGCTGCCTCCTGCCCTGCGCTAAAAATCGAGCCCACAGAAACCCAAAATGGTGGGGTAAATAAACATATCTAAACTCCAGGGGGCACAACAATTTCAAAACTGCAACTAAAAGACAAAACGTCTATCACCCAGCGCCACGGGAGGGCTGGCTGAGTGCAAGTTCTATGACCAGACAGAAAGAGAGGGGAGCATTCAGTGCACAAACGCTGAAAAACTGATGTATGGGGGAGAGAGATACGGACTGACGGCAGATTCCAGCTGGCAGCGGGCATTGCTTTCTTCAGCAAGAAGGGGAGATGCTGGACTGTCTGCCATCGGGTCCGAAAGTGAGGGTGGCTGGCTTGCAGAACTGCACGGAGAAATAATTGTTTGTTGCTCTGGGGCACAGACATGGGGACCCAGTCAGAGGCACAGGACAGCTCACTGCCAGCCATTGCTGTTTGCCACACCCTAGCCTAGTGATGCCCTGAAACCCCGCCCAGCACAATATACAAACACACCCAAACTCCCTAGCAGCTGCTTTTGCATATGAATGGCCTTCCTATGGCTGCTAACTTGCAAACCAGTTCAGACAGCTCCATAATCTACAAATCCCAAGCAGGAGGAGAGGACTATAGTTCTTCCTGTAGCTCCTGCAGGATGACCTCAGACAGTAGCTGACCTGCACCCCATTGGAGATCCAGAAGCCAGTGTACCTAGTGGTCAGTGTGAGACACAGATTTCAACCCCTCACATCCATAACTAACACATTCAAGAGGCAGACTCAGTGAACACGAAAGCCCACTGAAACAAGTCCTTCATAATAAGCATGTCTCCAGCGCAGCAGTTATTCCATTATAAACACAGTGGGTCCCCACAGCCAAGTGGCCTAGAGGACAATTCCTCTCAGGGCACCAACAGCAATCAAGGATTAACTACACCAAGACTTTGCACTCAGCCCACAAAGGGGTGTATCAAGACCATCCACCTCGGGTGATTGGGGAGACTGAGCTACTGGCCCCTGTGGTTCACCTACCACACAAAAGCGCTCCATCAACACAGGGAAGTAGCCAAAAGGCGGAGACACAGAGGCATGTCACGAAAGGGGGCAATGGAGAAAAGCAAACTACAGGACGACATGGAGTTCAGGACCACATTTATAAGGTTACTCAAGAATCTTCTAAAAACTGCTGAGAAACTTGATGAGACCTTCAAGGACCTTAATGAGAATGCCAAAAAAAAAAAAAAAAAAAGGAAAAGGATCAGTCAGAAATTAAGAAAACACTGTCTGCCGAAAACGGTTTGGCTCAGTGGTTCGATTCTGGTCAAGGGCATGTACCTTGGCAACTGATTGATGATTCTCTCTCATCGATGTTTCTAACTCTCTATCCCTCTCTCTTCCTCTCTGTAAAAATAAAAAAAATAAAAATAAAAATCAATAAAATATATTTTTAAAAAAGAAAAGAAAACACTGTCTGAAATAAAGAATTTACAGAAACTCAACTGTACTCAATTTTACTATATTTTATTTAAAGGTGTGTTTTTACTTACAGCAGCCAGCCTCCTGGACTATCCTGGTTAATCACTAAGGAGGAGGATTTTAAGTGCTTGAAAACATTAATCCAGGAATTTTAGTTCTTAATTTACAGGGTTCTTATGGGTTGCTGCCTTTTAATATTCTATGTTTACAATTTAATTAACTAAATTTCCTATTTTATTTCAGTTATCTCCCGCTTCCACAAGGGTGTTGGGTTTAATTGGGTGTAAACATTATTACTGAAGGAATTACAGTTAATACCTGGCTTCGTATATGTTGCAATCCATTTGAACATCTTGAAATCTTAAGTAAAAACATAATTTCCACCCTAATGAGGCATTTTTCACCCTTTGTTTCCTCAACTAATACAGTTTATGTTCAATTAACAGCTTCTCTAACCTCACTTTTTACTCTGGACACTGGCAACAGCCTGCAGCCCTCCCTTTGAGTGGGTAGGAAATGGAGTTTCTGGACTAGTGAGGCCTCTGGTGGTGGAAGAGCTGCTCATGGTTAATACTTCCTTTCAGCCTGACCAAAAGCTAATATCTCTTTCATAACTCTCTCTCTTCCCTCTCTTCTTTCTCTCTCTTATCACACACACACACACACACACACACACACACACACACACACCAGCACTGACAGAGCACTTAGGAGGGTAACCCTTAACTCATTTCTCACTTACTGTTCTGGGAACTAAATGCAGAGAGATACCAGGCCCTAGCTGGTTTGGCTCAGTGGATAGAGCATCAGCAAGGGTTCCGGATTCCAATCTGGTTAAGGGCCCATGCCTAGGTTTTGGGCTTGATCCCCAGTAGGGGGCGTGAAAGAGGCTGCCAAGCAATGATTCTGGCTCATGGTTGATGTTTCTATCTCTTTCTCCCTCTCCCTTCCTCTCTGAAATCAATAAAAATATAAATAAATTTTTAAAAAATAGGGTGAAAGCAGAGAGCTATCAGGAGCATTTTTGTCTTCACAGCAGGTACAGACCAAGAGCAGAAGAAGATGGGGCTGATACTAGAGGTGAGAAAGTATCAACTCCTGAGTAAAGCTCTACTGTGAATAGATGTCTGCATAGGGGTCTGACTAGAGAGGGTAGACTTTAGAAGTCTTCATGGAGGGGAGAGAAGACAAGGTGTAGCTCTGGGACGAAGCTAGCCTCTCCACAGAGGGAGAGGCTTAGGGAAACCTGCTTTTGTTACTATAAAGCCCAGGGTCAGAGGAGACTATCTTAAAGAGGAGAGGCAGGATATTCAAAATCTGTTGTGTCTTCATATTAGGATTTTTGTTGACTTGTTGGTTCTACCATATTTTAATTGAAAACCATGTGAAATGATTATTTGAATAGCATTTAGCAAGTAGCCTTCCCGAACCTAAGAGAAGTTGCAAAAATCTGTCCAAACAAAAAGAAGCAGAGGGCATTCACATAGTTAGGGGTGGATGGGGGAAGAGCAGAGGCAGCTATCACCAGCAAACCCCCACCCCGCCCTGCCCTGCCCTGCCATGCTGACAGAAGCAGCCAGGATCCCTTATAGCGTCCTGGCTTCCCGTCCCTGCCCAGTAGTGAAAACCTGATCACTCAGAGGGACTGTGTTCAGCTCCTTTTACTGTTTCAGGAAACAACTGTGGGGGAAAGAGTCCAATTTCGATGAATGAAGTCTTTGCAAGTTTTGCAGACTTGGGAGGGACCCTTGACTTTCTCAAGGGCAAACCCACTGCATTTGCCCCCTACTCCAAGATATGTAGACAGAAATTTTTCTTATCTTGTGGTCTGTCACAGATTTGAATGTTTTAATTGCTAAAGTGTCAGATGAGCTATGAGAGCTAAAAATAGTTTAATGTTAAAAGAGAGGCTGAAGAAGAGTAAGTTGGTCCACCCATCCCCAGCACCCAGAAGAAAAAAAGACCTCAAGGCCTTTGAGGGAAGCTGAGTACACTCTGACAGATCCTGCTCTCCACCAGCCTCCCTGGAGAGGAGGGAGTTTGTTGCTAAGAGCAGAGCACTGTCCCTACGAATATCCCCTCTCACAAGGGCACAAAGCTCTGGAAGGGATACCTATCTCACCTCTGTGAGGATATTGATGGACCTCCACCCTCCTGAATCTGTAATCTAAAGGCATCTAATTTAATAGAAACTCTCCTCCCTCTCCCCCCAACCCCACCCCAGAAGCTCACAGGATTGTGCCACAATTCCCAGGCATTGCCTAGAGACTACAAGCCCCTCAGATGTGGGGAGCTGCCCTGAATGCAGGGTTCCTACATGCCTGAATGCAGGCATAAGTGTGGGACACAGCTCTCCATGTACCCTTTATATTAACCTAAGTGGGAAATTACTGCTCTTTTTAGGAATGCTGATACGTGCTTAATTGCAGAAATCTTTGCTTATTCTATAGGTTAAAGAATAGTCGGGAGCCTGTTGATGCAGAAGGAACTATGGTTAAGAGGAAGATAGTGTGTTCGTGCAAGGAAGTTGGCAGGGTGATAAGGTTAAAGAACCGGGTGGGCTTCGAAACCCATTGTGCTTACAATACTTGCCTAAAGGAAACACTTCCTCTTACAGAACTGTATAAGAAGGCTTTGAGAAATAAACTCGGGGCTGCAGACCTCAGTCTCAGTCCTCCCGACCCCATCTTTTCTTGTCTGTCTTTTTTCTCATCCTCACCCCCTCATTCAGGTACTGTTCGTTGCCGGCAGGTTCCGACAGGTGGCGCCCGAAACAGGGACCTGAAAACCTGGGACGAAGGTAGAGGACACTGCCAGAGGAGCAACGAGGACGCGTCTGGAATAAGGTAGGACTGGGGCAGTGAGTGTAATAGTCGGGAGTAAGAAATATGGGGCAAGGGAATAGCCGAGCGCTGTTTGTGCAAGTTCTTAAGAGTATGCTTCGTTCTAGAGGCGTGAAGGCAGGGCAGAGAAAGTTAGAGAATTTTTTAAGCTTTATAGAAGAAGTCTGCCCTTGGTTCCCAGAGGAAGGGATGGTAGATCCTGAAACCTGGAAAAGAGTGGGGAAAAGGTTACAAGATTATTATTCTGCCTACGGACCTAAGAAGGTCCCAATAGATACTTTTTCTTTATGGAATCTAATTAGGGATTGCCTTGATCCCAGGCATGAAGGACACCGGTGGTCTGCGAGTCTTATAAGGGGAAAGAGTACATCAACCTCTAGCATAAAAGAGACTGGGGAGTTGATCCCTATTGCCCCACAAGAACAGGGAGAATTAATGCCACCCTCTCCACCAGAAAATCCTTATCAGGAGGGACGCGCCTGCTCATTATCATGATGATGATGATGATGACCTAGGGCCCTGGATGCTGATGATGAGTGCTAAGCAGGGAAAGAGGGAGCCGGAGTGGAAGGCAGGACTAGATGAAGATCTTAGAGAAGTTAATAGGATGCTAAAAGAAGTTCTGGGAAGACTTCCTCCTGAGAGCCTTATGGTCTAAAGGCTTTAACTGTCCCCAAAATGGATAGGATAGGGTCATATCCACCATCAGTGGTCATGGGGTTAGATCCTCCACCGCTGATTCCACTCGACCCTCCCCAGCCAGTCATAGTTGCCTTACAGGAGCGACCTGGCCTTAAGCCATTAGCCGTACCAGCACAACCTGACAGGGATATTCCCTGGGCCCCGGGTCCATCCCCCTTACAGAGGGCCCTTCAGAAGGCAGTGGCTGCCGATGAGGACTTGGGAGGTTTTAGCTTATACCCAGTCTTTGAGGAAAATCAACAGCGGGTGCACCAACCCATTCTATTTAAACAGCTCAAGGACCTGAAATTAGCATGTGCTCAGTATGGACCTACAGCTCTATTTACTGAGGCGATGCTTGAAGCACTGGCTACTCAGGCGCTGCCCCCTAATGACTGGAAGCAGCTGGCTAGAGCCTGCCTAAGTGGAGGGGATTATCTGCTGTGGAAAACGGAATTTGTGGAGCACGTCAAGCCACTGCAGATATGAATAGGTCACAGAACAACTCTATAGATTTTGACATGCTGGCCGGAGAAGGGGTGCAAGGGCCATTGATTAGCAGCTACACTATGCGCCAGGAGCTTATTCTCAAATTAATGTGGCAGCTCAGAGAGCGTGGCGAAGACTGCCTAGCTCCAATAAAAAGACTGAAGATTTATCAAAAATAAGACAAGGTCCTGATGAACCATATCAAGATTTTGTTTCTAGGCTTTTAGAAGCTACTGGGGAGCTTCTTAATTTCAGTGATGCTGGCATGATGCTTGTAAAACAATTGGCTTATGAGAATGCTAATTTCGTTTGTCAGGCAGCCCTGAGACCATTTAGAAAGAAAGGAAGCATATCAGATTATGTAAGGTTGTGCTCAGATATAGGACCTTCATATATACAGGGCATCACTTTGGCTGCAGCCCTAAAGGAAAGACAGTCAAAGAGGTCCTGTTCCAGCAACAGCAGAAGAAAAAGGGGAAGTCTAGAGTTGCTGGTCCCCCTGGCAGTTGTTATTCCTATGGACAGATGGGCCATCGAGCTGCCCAGTGTCCTAGTAGCCAGGGAGGCAATAACAACCAAGCAAAGATACGGGGGATATGTCCTCATTGTAAGAAGGGAAAACATTGGGCAAAGGATTGCAAGTCAGTTACTGATTTGCAAGGGAACCGGTCTGCCTCCCCTTCAGGGAAACAGGAAGCAGGGCCAGCCCAGGCCCCGCAACAATGTTACGGGGGCAATCCAGGGACAGTCCCTAGAGGGGGAGTCCCAAACGAACGGGGAAATCCGTTTGTGACTTGTTCAGAGCAACTACAGGGAGCACAGGACTGGATCTCAGTGCCTCCACCTATACAGTACTAACTCCTGAGATGAGAATGCAAGCTCTCCCCATGGGGGTGTATGGACCCCTCCCTCTAGGGACGGTGGGGATATTATTAGGAAGAAGTAGCACAATCATGAAGGGATTATTAGTAGCTCCAGGGGTAACAGATCAGGATTATACTGGAGAGATTAAGGTTATGACCCACTCTCCAAACTCTATAACAGTCATCAATTCCAGACAACGAATTGCACAGCTCGTCCTGCTTCCACTAGTAAGAACTGGGCAAACAAAAACTGGTCACCAATGAAGGAGTCAGAGTTTTGGATCTTCAGATGCATACTGGGTACAAGCCATAAAACAAGAAAGACCAGAATTAATTTTAAATGTCAATGGAAAAAAATTTAAAGGAATTCTAGACACTGGAGTGGATGTGTCTGTGATATCAGAACAGCATTGGCCTCCTCAGTGGCCAAAACAGTCAGCTATTACATCTTTACAGGGGATCGGTCAAGCTCATAGCCCTGAATAGAGCAGTGAATTGTTATCTTGGACAGATGAGGAGGGTCATTGTGGGAATTTCCAGCCATACGTGTTGCCTGGTTTGCCAGTGAATTTATGGGGAAGGGATGTTATG